GCTCTGTGTCCCTTCCACCCAGGAACCCAACAACAGGGCTGTCACCAGGACCCAGCCGTGCTGGCATGGTAATGCTGGACCTCCAGGCTCCAGGTCTGGAGGAAATAATTTCTGGTGGTTTATAAGCCCCACAGTCTGTGATACTCTTAAAGTAGTGTGTGCATAGCAAGCCAGGTGGAAAGGAGGCTCTGGGAGTGCAGTGTTCTCACTGATTATATGTGGATAATGGCGTCTGTCCAGTCTATTTCAGAGAATTGTTTGAATTAGAATTGTACCATTTAGTTAACATACATCAGGAGGTGCTATACGGATGCTGGAAATCATCATCATTAGAAGCATATTAAATTATCTTAAATATTAGGGTCTTTTGTAACAAAATGTGGGCCAATCATCTAGCTTGGTTTGACAAGGGGCTGCATCTAAGTGCATGTGAGACCGGCATTACTCACACCCAGAAACAGGTTATTTTCATTGCCAGGGTCACACATGGACGCCCAGACTCCCAGGAGCAAGCAGACAACTTTACAGCTTGTGGCCTGGTGTGGACTGATGAAACGTGTGTGCAGAAAGGGGCAGAGCCTTTTTCAAATTAAGTTGTTCTCATAAATGACTGAACAAAGCATGCATATAAAAACAGGTGAGATAAAATAGAAATGTCTAAAAGGAGTTCAGCAAATCGTGAAGCAGTTCTCAGAGTCCAGTTCCTACTATTTTATTAACAGTTTATAAAATACAAAGTGGATGGGAAAGGAAAGGGCCCACAGTCCCACTTCACAGATGCCCTGATAGGAAAAGCAAATAATTAAATGGGATCAGAGACGACAGAGACACTTGTCAGGAAGCCAGTCAAATGCTAAATTAAACATGGTCATTAGTTCAAAAGAAAGCACAGATGGAGGCTCCAGTCGGGCTCCTCGGGGCTAGCGAGGCAGCCTGTGGCAAGCTTATCTGATCTAGGGATCCAAGGAAGGGGCTGCAGGGGACAGAGGCAGCGCACCTTGCTTCCCCCGTGGGTGGCTCCCACTTTGCAATCCGCCTGAGGCACTGCCCACCTGCTCCCCGGAGGAGGAGGCCGGAGGTGGCAGGAAGAGTTCTCTCTCCAGTCCTTCCCAGGGGGCTCCACGAGGTCACACAGCAGCTTTTTCTTTCCTTTAAGAATCACTGGAATATCGGGCCTCTCCCCAAAAAAACACAAGATACGACATGGTTAGAGCACAATTTCAGAGGCTGCACAGACCATCGAGGGCCAGCGCTGATCAGCTGGGGACTCCTGACTCATGGCGATCAGACCAGCCTCGCCCCAGGTGCACCTGGGCTCAGGGGCTGCCTGCCCACCAGTGTGGCATCGTGGCTGGGCCTCTGTGACCCCAGGTCTCCCTAGAATCTCATTTCTGTCTGTAGTGACTCATGTAAAGGAATTTTCTCTCCTCTGGAGCTAATCACTCTTTAACTGCCACTACCAGTTCATCTTCCACAGATAAGGCTCTTTTATATTGATGGAAGAACATTCCAAAAGTTACAAAAATAGCTCTTTCTTATTTCCTGTAGAGCATATGGGGAACCTGTTAATGTTCCCTGTTAGAATCATCAAAGTTGACATTCTATACTTAATATACCTAAACTTTCTATTTTTAATAAAAATGAAGAACTGTTATTTCTCAAATCATCTCTCTCTACTCTCCTTCCATTTCTTTTGTCCAGACGAGCATTTAAGTTTCTTCTCTGCAACATTTTTCATAAAGAAATACTGTTTCAATCACTTCACCAGAGTTTTTATGGACATGTTCAAGCCCAGATGCTGAGCAGGTGGCCAGGCTGCGTCACTGGCTAAGTGACATGTTTCTGGAACTAGATCTCCAGAGCCAGATTCAAATTGATGTAGGAGGAATGGTTCAATATTCATTCGTTGAAGAAATAACAAAGAATAGAATGATGGTTGCCAAAAGCTAGGGGAAGGGGAAAATGGGGAGTTACTAACCAAGTGGAATAAACTTCAGTTAAATGAGGTCAATATGTTCTAGAAATCTGTTGTATAACACTGTACCCACAGTCAATAATATAGCATTGTCCACTTAAAGTTTTGTTAGGAGAGATCTCATGTTAAATGTTCTTACTAAAATGAAGTAAAATACAATTAAAAAGTAAAATAATGAAATAAAATAAATAAAATACTTGATTTTGGGATCCAGGAGTGAGAAAATAATGATTGAACCATAGATTCCAACTCAAATCTCAGATGGCTATAAGCTATGGAATGTTTGTATCTCCCCAGAATTCATTGAAACTTAACCCCCAACACGACGGTACTTGGAGGCCGGGCCTTTGGGAGGTGATCAGATCATGAGGGTGGAACTCCCATGAATGGGATTAGTGCCCTTATGAAAGGGCCCCTGGAGAGCTCTGTGTCCCTTCCACCCAGGGACCCAACAACAGGGCTGTCACCAGGACCCAGCCGTGCTGGCATGGTAATGCTGGACCTCCAGGCTCCAGGTCTGGAGGAAATAATTTCTGGTGGTTTATAAGCCCCACAGTCTGTGATACTCTTAAAGTAGTGTGTGCATAGCAAGCCAGGTGGAAAGGAGGCTCTGGGAGTGCAGTGTTCTCACTGATTATATGTGGATAATGGCGTCTGTCCAGTCTATTTCAGAGAATTGTTTGAATTAGAATTGTACCATTTAGTTAACATACATCAGGAGGTGCTATACGGATGCTGGAAATCATCATCATTAGAAGCATATTAAATTATCTTAAATATTAGGGTCTTTTGTAACAAAATGTGGGCCAATCATCTAGCTTGGTTTGACAAGGGGCTGCATCTAAGTGCATGTGAGACCGGCATTACTCACACCCAGAAACAGGTTATTTTCATTGCCAGGGTCACACATGGACGCCCAGACTCCCAGGAGCAAGCAGACAACTTTACAGCTTGTGGCCTGGTGTGGACTGATGAAACGTGTGTGCAGAAAGGGGCAGAGCCTTTTTCAAATTAAGTTGTTCTCATAAATGACTGAACAAAGCATGCATATAAAAACAGGTGAGATAAAATAGAAATGTCTAAAAGGAGTTCAGCAAATCGTGAAGCAGTTCTCAGAGTCCAGTTCCTACTATTTTATTAACAGTTTATAAAATACAAAGTGGATGGGAAAGGAAAGGGCCCACAGTCCCACTTCACAGATGCCCTGATAGGAAAAGCAAATAATTAAATGGGATCAGAGACGACAGAGACACTTGTCAGGAAGCCAGTCAAATGCTAAATTAAACACGGTCATTAGTTCAAAAGAAAGCACAGATGGAGGCTCCAGTCGGGCTCCTCGGGGCTAGCGAGGCAGCCTGTGGCAAGCTTATCTGATCTAGGGATCCAAGGAAGGGGCTGCAGGGGACAGAGGCAGCGCACCTTGCTTCCCCCGTGGGTGGCTCCCACTTTGCAATCCGCCTGAGGCACTGCCCACCTGCTCCCCGGAGGAGGAGGCCGGAGGTGGCAGGAAGAGTTCTCTCTCCAGTCCTTCCCAGGTGGCTCCACGAGGTCACACAGCAGCTTCTTCTTTCCTTTAAGAATCACTGGAACATCGGGCCTCTCCCCAAAAAAACACAAGATATGACATGGTTAGAGCACAATTTCAGAGGCTGCACAGACCATCGAGGGCCAGCCCTGATCAGCTGGGGACTCCTGACTCATGGCGATCAGACCAGCCTCGCCCCAGGTGCACCTGGGTTCAGGGGCTGCCTGCCCACCAGTGTGGCATCGTGGCTGGGCCTCTGTGACCCCAGGTCTCCCTAGAATCTCATTTCTGTCTGTAGTGACTCATGTAAAGGAATTTTCTCTCCTCTGGAGCTAATCACTCTTTAACTGCCACTACCAGTTCATCTTCCACAGATAAGGCTCTTTTATATTGATGGAAGAACATTCCAAAAGTTACAAAAATAGCTCTTTCTTATTTCCTGTAGAGCATATGGGGAACCTGTTAATGTTCCCTGTTAGAATCATCAAAGTTGACATTCTATACTTAATATACCTAAACTTTCTATTTTTAATAAAAATGAAGAACTGTTATTTCTCAAATCATCTCTCTCTACTCTCCTTCCATTTCTTTTGTCCAGACGAGCATTTAAGTTTCTTCTCTGCAACATTTTTCATAAAGAAATACTGTTTCAATCACTTCACCAGAGTTTTTATGGACATGTTCAAGCCCAGATGCTGAGCAGGTGGCCAGGCTGCGTCACTGGCTAAGTGACATGTTTCTGGAACTAGATCTCCAGAGCCAGATTCAAATTGATGTAGGAGGAATGGTTCAATATTCATTCGTTGAAGAAATATTTATTAAGCACCCACTATGTGCTGGGACAAGTAAAATGACAAATTTCTACACAGTAAGAACACTTGGGTCCTTTGGAAATAACTGATACTTAGCATGTTAAAAGTATCCTTCCCACCTTTGCAGAGCATTTTAGCATTTCAATTTGCTTTTCCAACTACTATTTCATTTCAAAATGGAGTATTTTCAGGAAAGACTGAATAACTTGCTCTACTGTTAAATTAGGGCTTAAATATAAATCTGCAACCTTAACGTTTGTGCTGTTCTACAGTATTAGGATGAACATCATTAGCCACATACTGTCGGCTCCTGTTCCCAAGCCTTGCCATGCGTGCATCTCCCTGAGGCTGGACTGCCGCCTCCTGGGGGCTGGGCCTCCACCGCGGGACCCCACTCATTGCTCTTCTCTCTCTGCCCGTGCACACGACACCTGCCCCAGGGCCCTGCACCCCAGCTTCCCTGCAGGGAAGGACCAAGGGTGGGAAAGTCACAGGAACGAAATTCAGGAATAGCTGGATTGGATCTCAGTTTTTAGGGGATCCCACATCTCTGTGTCTTGGTTTTCCCAAAACATAAAATGATGATACAAATAGCTTTGCAAGGCCATTTCCAGGACGGCATTAGCCTTCTTCTAGATTTACGGAGCTGCGCTCACTGTGAGCGCCGAGTAAGAGCTAGCTTCCCCCCACAGCTGGGCCCCCCGTTTCATAGATGTTTACTGAGCTCCTGCTCTATTTCTAAGGGAAGTCAGGATGCACGGCCAATACGTTCCAGGCACTGGGGGGCCACCGTGAGCCCCAAGTACAACTGTGGCATGCAAAGCGTGGAGTCTCCACTAAATTACACATTTCCCAGATAAAATAAAATGGATTAGAATTAATGCCATGTGAGTCAGTGCCAAGCTCCTCAGAAGACCCTCTGACTTTACTAGGGAAAGGATTACGCAAGAAAAAAATGTCCTGTGGAGGAATCCCAGCTATGGGAGTGCAGGTAAAAGAGGGAACCAAAGACTGTCTTTCTTTAAGAATGGTTAGAAAGGCTGCTATTAGATTTCTATATATATCAGAAATATATGAAATACATCAATAATAGCAAGAGAGCAATAATCACAATTATTGTCAACTAACAGTTAATGTGTTGCCCCATGAAAAAAGGATTTTGGATGTGTTTCGGGGTGTACCAGAGAACAGAAAGTAGGTCAGTGGTCAAAGTATGGACACAAGGAAGCACATTTCAGCTTCACGTAAAGACGGCAAATAGGTGCCTCCAATCACAGATGGCTCTGCTTGGGAAGGAGTGAGATCCCTGCATACAGAGCGGTGCAAGGGGGCAATGGGTGACTTGTGATCAGGGATGCTACAGAAGAGATTCCTAAAACCAGTCACAAGATCCAGATTCTTCAAATATTTTAAGCAACTGCATTTAGCATTCATTGTCCTCAAAGGTGTTACCATCATCAGTAAGGATTGTCATTGATGTAACTTTAGCTACTGTTAGCATTATTATCATCGTTTCATTTGAATGATAGTTCTGGAAACAGCGGTTCCAGCTCTCTGGCCTTAAGAGCGCAGGCGGGGTTCTCCGGTGGGTGCTGGTAGGAGTCTGTGGTCCTGAGTACCTTCCCTGATTCCTGCCTGAGAACAGACACCCGGACCATCTTTTCTGGGAGAGTGTAGAGTGTATTCAGCTGTCTAAATGAAGATAAAATGAAATAGGGAAGAGAAACAGAGCTCTCTCATGTTCATCATTACAGCTATTTACTCCGTCATTTTCACTTGCATATTTTCTAAGAAGAAAGGTTTTCTCAAAAACCTTTACCCTTTTCCACATTTCCCACCTAAATGACTTTTTAACTGAGACATGAAGCAAACTGACTGTAGCAGAGGCTTTTCCCAGCAGAACAGGCCTGGCTTGGAGCCCCGGTTGGAGAGGAGAGAGAGCCAGTGGGGTCTGCCCTCCGTGAGCACCTCCTCGCCTCTTCTCCCCGCACGGTCACCCCTCTTTCCCCTGAGGCCCCAGCCCTGGGCCGCCGAGGCCCCCAAGCCCACAGCCCGACCGAGCTGAGGCTGCCCGGCCAGCCGCCCCTCCTCTCCGTGGCCCCCATTACCTCTGCACGCAGTTACCTTCCTCCACGCAGTCAGCCAGTCACCGTGGCCCTGGCCTCGCGGCCCCTCTTTCCTGCCCAGTCCTTCTGCCCTTGACCCTGGTGATCATTTCCTTCTCCTCTGGCCCTTCCTGTGGGACTTCACTGATTCTTCTCTTCCTTTAGCGTTTTCATAGGCCTTTGTCCTTGACCTTCTCTTTTTGTCCTGCGCCCTATAATCACACACTGTGCGTCACTAACACTTACATATTTCTGTTTTCGCCCACTCGTCCCCTGCAGCTGCACGCCCCTGGGACGCCTCCGTCTCCATCCCACCTGGCTTTCATCCAGACTTTTCCCTCCGTTGGGAAGGGCCTTCTCCCATCTCCCCCTGACTCACCTCCCAGTGCTCAGCTCCATGTCTTCTTCCCATGATGCTTTCCCTGCTGCACACCCCAGGTGGGCTGAGGCACCCACACGCCCCTCCTTCCACATGCTGGGCACCGCGGTCTTTGTCTGCTCTGGCACACGACAGCTCCCAAAACTGCACCCCTGGAACTAGCACAATGCTTGGCAATTTGGGGTCTGAAAAATACTTCAGAAAGAAGTCAGAGGAAACCTCAAACTCATATGTCATAGTGTTTGGCTAGAAGCTTTCATCAAAGCTCTTCCCAAATACTTATAATCTCCAGATATCAACAATCTGAATGCTGTTTCTTCCAACGTTAAGGTGACTAGAAAAAGAGAGAGAAAGAGAGTTGTGTCACTCAGGTTTTGTGCAATAGACCAAACCTGCCCTTCCAAAAAAATAAGAAAGACACTCCATTCATCCACCAAATTTTGCTGAGTCAGACACTTGAAACAATGAGAAAACTTGCAGCCATTTCTCAGTTGAATATAGATGTTATTTTTAAACAACCCCGATATTAAACAATAACTCATATACATGCTGTCAATACACACACCTTTTTCTTTTTGATGTTTATTCAGAAACGACAGTGGAAGTGAAGCGGGGAAGGAGCTGCAGTGGCTGCATGTGCATCGAAGAGGAGGCGGTGCCAGCAGGCACAGCCGGACTGTACGCGCACGTTTGTCTGGAGGAAACGAAAAGCAGAAAACAGGCCACCAAAAGGTGAACCCGCTTCTGTATTGATGGTGAGATTGTTTTTCTCTTTATTCACCATGTGTGTTTTAACAATTTTCCTTAATGAGTGTTCCCTTATTTCACAACTTGGGAAGATGCGTTTAAAAATTTTTGTGAGTAACCAAAAACCGCTCAGAAGACAAACCATGAGGATGCTAATATTCAAATATGCAACTTGAAGGGCAAAATCTTTTAAATATGGGGAGGGAGCTGAGATGCATGGGCGCTTCCTCTCGCCCCATGCCCTGGTTCTACGTCCTAGTGTGTTTCCTGCCCAGAGCTGCGAATCTCCCAGAGTAGGTAAGATTTACTGCAGGGGTAGGTGCGGGAAGGAAAAACGGTGGGAGATATTGATTGCAATTAACTTTGCCTCTGATTGGTGTGTGACTCCAGGTGAGCCCTGCTATTTAGTCAATGGGCCGAGACTCTCAAAGATTAATGGAGGTTGTCAATGGGGTGGTGGGCTCGGGCCCAGAGGGTCACATAACTCCATTTTTCCCACTTTGAAAGTGAAATTATCATGGCAACATGGAGATACGTATGAGAATGAAGAGAATGATCAATGCCGCTGATCATATTCCCATCCCTAATCACCATGGCTGAGCCCAGAAAAAAAGCAAAGCTCCTTTTATTGATGTTCTGAAGTGCAGGCCCTGGATTCCTTTTGCAATTAAATATAATTGCAAGATTCAGTTTGCTCCTGCCTGTTGCTCTTATTTCTGGCTGCCGTTGAGATGGGGAATTGGGTGACTTTTCTTCACTGTCATCCCTGCACTCGATGCTTTTGTGTGGATTTCACAGAGCTGAGACCAGCTGCCCAGACAGATCAGAAAGGGCACCCAAGCAGGGTGCTTGCACTTTCCCTGAGATCGCATCACTGGTGCATGGCAAGGAATATAGACCAGTCCCATTAGGATCGGTTGGATGGAGGTCATTTCTGCTGGGAATCAGAACAGAATCAGGAGCTGGCAGATAACCTCATGTGCCTCTTCTCCACGTTTCTTCATCACTTAGTAACACACATCTGTCTCCCTATTGATTAGCTCTTGTGAAAGGTTAACAGGTAAATGTCATAATTCTTTGAGCTGATTAAGGAATGGAGAAATCAGAATGGTAATAGCAGTGATGAAAAATAAATAACAGATTCCAGAGGTGAAACTCATGCAAAGTACCGTAGCAGCAGAAATTCTCAGGAAATAAAGTTCTTGGCAGGTTAATGAATTCAACTTAACTTCAGTCCCATCTTCCAGGCCTCCCATAACAGGCCTTTGTAACATGGAATGCAAGTTGCCCTGAATCAATATGTTTTCTCAGGGACTATGGTGCCCTCATAAATCATCATTTGCACGACATATTTATACTAATAAATCTACCTTGAAGAGAGGGAGAGAAAGAGAGTGGTTAACAATAAACCACAGTTTCTAAGCCATGGGGAGAATAATATAAACCCGAGTTTCTATGGGCACACAAATTTGTGTGACGACAGCCAAATTAAATGTGTTTTCTGCCCTGGGCAGCTGTGGGCACAGGACAGCATCGAGAGATCTGGAGGACTGGGGCTTCCCTTTCGGGTGAGAGGCCATGAAGTGTTCACGCGCAGGAAGACAGAGGAAGCACAGCGAGGAAAGAGCCAGTGCTGAGTCCATTTGGCTTGGATTCCTCTCCATTACTTTTCCTAAAAGGAAAAAAAAGGAGCCAGTTTATTTAGTGGTTTGGATAGAAAAGGAGGAGCCGAATTACTCAACCAACGAAACATTTCCGCGTGAACCTCCAGTGAGGACTCGATCACCAGGCGCGTCCCTAACAAGTCTGTCTCCGGGCCAGAGACCAGTGGCAGGGGGCTCACTGATGACATGAACAGCTTCGTAACTCACTAACCCTGTTTGTCGTTTTGTAGAATAATAGTTTTGTCCTTTCCTTCAAAACGCTTCACATCAAATGTAGAGAATTACTGAAAATAATAGTGGGACCATGTGGGCAGTTGCTTAAAATATTTGCAGAATCTGTCATTTACTGCATGTGGGCATCAGTGGCCTAACATCCATAATGGGGAGAGTTGGGACCACTTCATAAAGCTTCTGGGAGGATGGACTGAGACAGCATGTATTTCTTAAAAAAAAAATACACAAGGCAACGACAATACATAGCTCAGAAGCAGGCACAACTATTCAATAATGTTTAACGCCAAAAATGTTCAACAATGTTCTTTTTGTTTTTTTTAATGAAGCAATGTTCCTTTTTCTTTTCATTTTAAATCAGAGATCGAAAACAAAGAGCTGGAAGGGACCTGAAAATGCACCCACTCCACAGCCGTCCTTGTGCACGTGTTTAGGAGACTTTACTCAAAGACATCAGAGGATTGCTCAGGGTACCACCACGACTGAAGGGCACAGAAGAACAGAGAACCCTAAATTTCCAGTTCAAGCTCTGCCCACACCAGACTATTTTTTTTAAAGAGAGGTTATTGATTTTTTTTTCTGTTGGCCCAAGTAAAATATGTTTATAGCTGAACATTTAAAAAATTTAAGAAGTATATAAAAATAATAAAAAGCACCATAAAACCTGCATCCATAGATATATGCTGTTTATGCTTCAGTGTGGGACATTTAGGTTCACCCTGCCCAGGTTCCTGATGGTGTATATGGACAGCAATGGCCTCCTTCCCATGCAATTAAAAAACCAAACAGATGTCCTTTTTCCTTTTCAGATGTTGAGTGTTCTATCCCACATCAACATCTCATCCCTTTCTGACAAGGCATCTCTTAAAATCATTACCTCTTTTCACATGCGACAGCAGGAGCAGTTGTTTTTTGCCATGTCTTTTTCCTCCAGATGGACAGAGAGCAAAGGCCACTGTCGGCCAAATTCTCCACCAGCCAGACTCTGCTCAATTTGGAATCAATAAAGTTTTTCAACTGAACTATTATTTTATTACAGGGTGGAAAATAGGCATTGATTCAATTGCCCAAATGTTTAAATTGTTTGGTCTCATGAAAAGCCAAGTTTAAAATAAGAATGTTTGGCAAGAAGGACTCTCCTGATAAAAAGCATGTGTTGAAAAGAAAACAAAAGCATAGTGGGAGAACATGCCGGGTTGGTGGACTAATAATTTACCGTGATCTATATTATAAATCAAGCTCCTATGCCACAATGTTTACCTAAATAATAATTTGGCCTGATTAGAAAATTATAAGATTAGATCATACAATTGCACAGAATCACGTCTTTGTATAAGGAGGTTCATGGAGGTACGTGCAGACTTCAACATCATGCATGCATGTGTATCTGGAGATACAGATATAAATATTAATACAACACATATGAACATTGTGTGTGTGATGAGAGTGAGATGGACAGAGATTGCTGTTTGGTTCTGAGCCCAGAGATGGCCTTGAGAGCTGGTCTGAGACACTGACTTGTAGGTAAAAGGGAGCAAGCAAGGTAGTGATGCCACTTATCCTGGGCTACTCACCCTGCTGCATTCTTTACGTGCAGTAGCCTTCTGCTCAGAAAGCCTAATGAGTTGCTCTTATGTGCTTTGTTTTAATTGGGGAAACAAGTGTAAAGAGAACGTTTAACTCAGTGTCACACAGCTAGAAACTAAGCCCTGGTCCAGGTAAATCTGAATATTCTCTTTCTCCTTCTGGTCTGCCTCCTGAAGGATGGGATGAGTTTGTGCAGAAAGGAAGGGAGTGCCTTCCAGCAGGTAAGGACTGAGCAAAGGCGTCTGGTCCTGAGGGACTGGGAGTGAGAGCCCCTTGGGGAATTCTGCAGGCGGTGCCCCGGGAAGTCTGCACCTACACACGCTGGAATAACAGCCATTTTAGGAGAAGGTGGGAAAGAAGGCCACTTTGACCTTCCTTCTTGCCCCGCCCTGGTGTGACTGGATGGTTTCCTCAACAGGACGAAACTCAGCATCACCCATGTAACCAGTGGTAACAATCAGTACTTTCTTGACTCGTTCTTTGCTTTTAAAATGAACAATGATTTAAATGGAATAATACATTGTAATTTTAAAGATAGACGAATTCAACCATTTTGTGTATGGTCTAAAATATACATGTACCAAACAAAAACGCACCCCAGATGGCAACCCAGCTCACTGTTCCCTGCGTTACAGGGGAGGAGCAACCCTCAGCCTCGCGCTGGAAAGCACCGACGGACTTCACGCTTCCTCCTTCCAATCGCTGGGAAGCACCTAAAGTTAAATCTAAACCTCCCATTATAGCAGAAGTACCCGGCACCCCAGTGGGGGTGACAGCCCTGCACCTGGGGTGAGCCCCCATCCCAAACCGTGGCAGGCCCACCCAAGCAGAGGCATGTCACTGAGTCCACCCGTGTGGGGACAGAGCCGAGAACAGGTCCTCCAGGCTCCAACCCAGCCGACAGCTGTCATTCTTCCTCCCCCACTAACTTATTTATTTCCTTATTTTTTTAGTTTATTTATTTTTGGTCTGCTTTTTCCTGACATCTACAAAAATAGAAGAAGGGAAAGTATTTGTGTGCAGTTCACAATCCTGAGCCATTCTCAACGTCTGGGGAGAGGCTGGGTCTCTGTGTTCTTTGTTCCTATTGCTATT